AATCTAAGCAATTTTCTTTTTTGATGAGTTATAATTAGATTTATCAAGCTTTTAAAAATAATTACTTGTAAAAAGTCTCATTTGTTTTCCCCACGAATAATTTTGTTGAATCTCTGCCAAGGCCAGGCGTGGTGGCTCATGCCTGTAATTTGAGCATTTTGGAAGGCCAAGGTGGATGTATCACTTTAGGCCAGGAGTTCAAGATCTGCCTGGCCAACATGGTAGAAAACCCCATCTCTACCAAAAAAAAAATACAAAAATTAGTTCAGGCATGGTGGCATGGCGCCTGTAGTCCCAGCTACTTAGGGAGGTTGAGGTGAGAGGATCGCCTGAACCTGGGGGCAGAGGCTGCACTGAGCCGAGATCATGTCACTGCACTATAGCCAGGGTAACAAAGTGAGATCCTGTCTCCCACAAAAAAAAAAAAAAAAGAAACTCTGCCTTTAAGAAACCACCTTCAAATACAACTATCAATGATATAAAATTTAGTTATGTGAAAATAAAAAAGATATTACTTACCCTAAAGAAAAGATCAAGAGAATCTTGAATTGAACGAGGAGGGAGTGGTTTTTTCCTACGAGGAAGGTCAATAGAGAGGTCATTAAACTGTTCTCTTTTGGGGATAATCTCTCCACAACTGTAAGAAGAAAAGGAGACATGTAAGCATTTAGAGCAATACACAAGAAATACAAGTATGCCTGAGAAACACTGTTCTTTCATAGAACTTATGGTACTGACATCCTATCACCAGGCATAAAAACTTACATTTAAGACTTTTTGATGCTTATTAAATTAATACAGATAAAACTGCAAGTATTTAAGTACTTTCCTAAATTTTTAAACTTTACATAAGCAACCCCCAAACTTTAAAAAACTAAAGCATAACATAATATAGAAAAGTGAACCTGTGGCAGGTATATAGCTTTATGAATCATCAGTTAACACATTCATTACCACTCAAATCAAGAAACAGGGCCAGGTGTGGTGGCTTGAGCATGTAATCCCAGCACTTTGGGAGGCTGAGGTGGGCAGATCGCCTGAGGTCAGGAGTTTGAGACCAGCCTGGCCAACGTGGTGAAACCCTGTCTCTACAATAAATACAAAAATTAGCTGGGCACGGTGGTGGGCACCTGTAATTTCAGCTACTCGGTAGGCTGAGGCTGGAGAGAATCACTTGAACCCGGGGCAGTGAGCTGACATGGTGCTACTGCACTCCATCCTGGGTTACAGAGCAAGACTCCATCTCAAAAAAAAAAAAAAAAAAAAAAAAGGAAACAGAGCACGATCAACTACCTAGAAGCCCCCTCACACATACCCTTTTCCAATCACTACCCTCTCCCAAAAGATAGCTATTATTCTGACTTCCAACACTATAGATGAGTTTTGCCTGCTTTGGAACCTTTTACAATGGGATTATGCAATGTTTTCTTTTAGCATGATTGTAATATTGAACCATGCCTGCTGTGCATGACTCTACTGCACTTTTCACTGTTGTATAGCATTAATCTGTAGGAATATTCTACCATTATCCATGTTAGTATTGATGGGCATTTAGGTTGTTTCCAGTTGTTGGCTAGACAGGTAATTGCTGCTTTAAAAATTCTACATGCTTTTTATGTGCATGTGTGGCTACTTCTGTTAGGCAGCAGAATGATTTCGTTATCAAATATATTTTTAATAGAATTTTAAAAAGTGAGCTCAGGGATTAAAATACCACATTCAATTTACCTAGAAGCAAATTTCTTTTAAGTAGTTTTAGCTGTTTTTCATTTTATTTTATCAGTACTTTAAGTAATATTTGTATTTCTACCCTAATTCCCTACTGTTATAGTTAAAGACTGAAAAACATGAGTATATTTGTTTTTCATTCAGCAAACATTTACTGAGTGCCTCTCTGACAGGAATTCTAACATGACCCTCAACTCTGTATAATTCTGTCCCCTTTGAGTGTGGATGGAACCAACCTGTGATAATGATGAGCTACCACACCTAAGACGATGTTACTTTACCTAGCCCAAAGGAATTTTGCAGATATAATTAAGGTTACTAATCTTAACTTTGAATGAATCAAAAAGGAGATTATCTGAATGGGTCAGATCCAATCATGTGAGGCTTTTTGTTTGTTTTTGAGACAGGCTCTTACTTTGTTGCCCAGGCTGGGGAGTAGTGGCATGACTACAGCTCACTGCACCCTCGACCTCTCAGGCTCAAGCAATCCTCCCACTTCAGCCTCCCAAATAGCTGGGACTACAGGTGTGCATCACCACGTCTGGCTAATTTTTAAACTTTTTGTAGAGAAGGGGTCTCGCTATATTGTCAGGGCTGGTCTAACACCTAGATTCAAGCAATCCTCTTGCCTCAGCCTCCCAACATGCTGGGACTACAGGCATGAGCCACCATGGTCAGCCCATATAAGCCCTTTAAATCTGGGTCTAGAGGACAGAAAGGGAAGAAGTCTGAAGTCAGAAAGATGTATATTTCCTGCTGGCCTGGAAAAAAGCACACAGCACTGTTGTGAACTGCCTATGAGGGAGCCATGGGACAAGGATCTATAGGCAGCCTTTAGGAAATGAGTGGTTCTGGTGGACAGCTAGCAAGAAAATGAGGACCTCAGTCCTATAACCACAGGATCTGAATTCTACCCATGACCTTAATGAGAGAGAAGAGGAACCGAATCTGGGCTCCAGATGAGAACACAGGCAGTAATGCCTTTATTTCAGCCTTGTAATACTCTGAGCAGAGTACTCAGCCATACTGTGCTCAGATTTCTGATCTACAGAGCTGGGATGAATTAATAAATGGGTTTTGTTTTAAGCTAATATGTTTGAAGCAATTTGTTGTACAGCACTGAAAACCTAATACAGCCTCCTCTATGCCAGAAAATGTTCTAGACCCTGGGGTGACAGTAGCAAATAAACCAAGGCAAAAATACCTCCCCTCATGAAGCCATCATTATATTGGGAGAGACAATGAAATTGACACTAGTAAAACACAGTATATTAGACAGTGATACATATAAGATGGAAAAACATAGTAGGGAAGAGGGAAATAAAAGCTGTGAGCAAAATATCTGAGAGCGTGGCAAGAAAACACATCACTGAGCAAATGGCCTTCATTCCTGGAGAAACGAGGACACTAACTAAATAAGAATATGCGGGCCAGGTGTGAGGGCTTGTAATTTCAGAATTTTGGGAGGCTGAGGTGGGAAGTTAGCTTGAGCCCACAAGTTTGAGACCAGCCTGAGTAACACTGGAAAACCCCATTGCTACAAAAAAATTTAAAAAATTAGCTGGGCACAGTGGCATGTACCTGTAGTCCCAGCTACTCAGGAGGTTGAGGCGGGAGAATTGCTTGAGCCTGGGAGGTTGAGGCTGCAGTGAGCTGTGATTGAGCCACTGCACTCAAGCCTGGGTGACAAAGCAAGACCCTGTCTCAAAAATTAACCAGTAATTAAATAAAAAGAAGAGAATATTGGGAAAGAGAATTCAAAACAGAGGAAATGGTAAGTGCAAAGGCTCTGAGGCACCATGATCCTGGCATTTTTGAACAAAAGCAAGGAAGCTAATTTGGTTAAAATGGAATGAGCAAGGGAAACGTGTGACAGAAGACAAAGAGAGTTAGCAGAGATGGGGGTAGGAGTGCTGAGAGGCAGATTACATGAGGTTACACAAGTCATAGACTTTTTAATTTTATAAGCAGAAGGCTGACATGAAATAACTTCCATTTTAAATGGATCACTTTGGCTTTTGTATTTAAACAGACTGCAGAAACATGGTGACTAATTTAAGATGCTGCAACAATTCAAACAGATGATAGTGGCTTGGTGTAGGGCACTGGCAATCAAAGTGGTAAAAAGAGGTCAGATTCTGGATGTATTTTCAAGGTAGAGCTGAAAGGACTTGCAGACATATGAGATGTCAGGTTTGAGAAAAAGAAATACAAAGCTGGGCACAGTGGCTTATGCCTGTAAACCCCAGGAATTTGGAAGGCTATGGTGGGAGGGCTGCTTGAGGCCAGGAATTCAAGACCAACCTGGACAACAGGGAGAGCCTGTGTCTAGAAAAAAATTTAAAATTAACTGGGCATGGTGGTGTGTGCCCGTAGTCCTAGCTACTCAGGATGCTGAGGTGGGAAGGACTGCTTAAGTTCAGGAGTTTGGAGGCTACAGTAAGCTATGACTGTGCCACTGCATTCTGTCTCAAAAAAAAAAAAATCCCATATTCAAGAATATATTAATATATTGAATTGTCTTATAATAATTAAAAAGCAGTCAGGTTAAATTGTAATAGTTTTAAAAACAAGTACATTTGACAAACTGGCCAAACAAACCTACAGCACGATGGGGCAGAGGATGAACACACAAAATTACAATCCAAAGTGTAAAAAGTGTGTGGAATCTTCCTTCAGCCAGAAACTGCTTTGTGTTTAGAGAAGTGTCCTAAAGAAAATTACTAATGAAGCAACAGAGCTCTATCCCCACCCAGCTGGCACATCCTGCCCAGTCTAGCTACATGGTGTGTCTATATCCCACGACCCAAGGCACTTATTGCACAGGTGCACATACCTCAACTGCACATCCAACATTTGGGTGCTATACAATTAGTGCCTAACGCCACTGGCACAGTGCAGAAGCCATTGCTCTGATATGGCCTTCTTTCTTTTCTTTTTAGAGATGGGGTCTTGCTCTGTTACCCAGGCTAGAGTGCAATGGTGTGATCTTGGCTTACTGCAGCTGCCACCTCTCAGGTTAAAGCAATTCTCCTGCCTCAACCTCCTTAGTAGCTGGGACTACAGGCACACACCAGCACACCTGGCTAATTTTTGTATTTTTAGTGGAGATGGAGTTTCACCATGTTGGCCAGGGTGGTCTCAAACTCCTGACCTCAGGTGATCCACCCACCTCAGCCTCCCAAAGTGCTGGGATTACAGGTATGAGCCACTGCGGCCAGCCTGATATGGCCTGTTTTCTTCTGCGTTCCCTGAATGATCCCACTGCCCACCTCCCCACACCTGACTGAGAGAGCTGACGGATTACCTGTGGTCATTTTCAACAGAGGCAACTTAAATTTTCTATTAAAAAGTTTGAATGGGCCGGGCGCGGTGGCTCAAGCCTGTAATCCCAGCACTTTGGGAGGCCGAGGCGGGTGGATCACGAGGTCAAGAGATCGAGACCATCCTGGTCAACATGGTGAAACCCCGTCTCTACTAAAAATACAAAAAATTAGCTGGGCATGGTGGTGCGTGCCTGTAATCCCAGCTACCCAGGAGGCTGAGGCAGGAGAATTGCCTGAACCCAGGAGGCGGAGGTTGCGGTGAGCCGAGATCGCT